GAATCCTATTTCAAAGCTGCCTACAGGCGAAACCAGTTATCAGAAAATTGTTAAATTTTGTAATGGACTTAATGAAAGGATGAGAATGTCTTTCAGCGAAAAAAAATTACTTACGAGAGGCTTTCGAAGTGTGACTTGCGGCTCTATCTTGATCAAGTTTCACTCTTTGAAAATCATTGGGATAAAGAAAAGGGATTTCTTTTGTAAATATCGAACGTAAAACTTTCTCTTGAGAGTTAGTTGAGCAAATTAACATTTTGTTTTTATTTTTTATTTTTTTAAACATTTTTCTCAATTTAATTTTTTATGTAACAGAATCTTGCGACAATCACGCAATCCCTTACAGAAACTTTCTTTGCATCGACGGAATCAGGTTTGTAAATTTTTTCCTCTGTTGCAGCCGTCAAAGTAAACTCGTGCTTCTTAAAGGGCTGTAATTATCTCCTGTTAAATGTTTCATATGAGATTCTACACATTTTTTTTTTGCGTTGAGCCACATGCCTCGACAAAAGTTGTTTTCTAAGTTATGTTTTGACAAAATTATGTTTTTTAAGCTGTAAATCTCGGTTTATTGTTTTATTTATTGTTGGTACTGATGTGTTTAAAGATTTTGCACTTCCTTGCAGCGTCGGTGAATTTTCTCTTGTTACCTACGATTTAACTTTAGAAACATTGGAAACAGTACGTACCTTTCTTGGGTATTCATTTAGAGTCCTTGTTTCATGTAGAAGTAATACCTGACCTCTTTTCCCCTTGTTTGTTAATTATGTTGCTTATTTTCCCCTTCGAAATTTTCATATCATGGTTTTCAAAGCGTTTTTAAATCATGAAATAGTAGTAATATTTCTTTTCTTAAAGCCCCAAAATATGTCCTTCAATCCATAGCTTGGTAACTTGCGACATTTTGAAGCAAGAATAAGCTCAGCCGATAATGAGCTGCAGAAGGCCTACTTTCCTAACAAGCAAACGCAATCCTGAAACTACCCTGATAGTTATGGTGATTAGCGATGCTGGCCGGCACACTGGTGGGCCTGAACTCGAATATTGAAGATGACATACATACAAGTGTTTATTATATGTCGGCATACTTATACTTAAAACTAATACCTATATACTTAAAACCCTGGTGACGCGAAAGTGCACTCGAATGGCTTTGTGGTTGAAAGGGGGAATGGAAGAGCCTGGAATCTTTTCTCCGACAGTCAATACAGTGAGACTATGCCTGTACAGCTGCTGAAATTCTTATTTCCTGGCCTTATTTTCTGTCACTTTTGAAGGTTCTCTTTCAAAAGCTTATGCAAGAGTTTCGTAAATTAAATTAAAATTTATGTTTGAATTCTATATTTTACTAAATTCTTTGCTAAAGCTTGAAGAAGCTCGAGAACAAAGATTTTGTGAATTACATCAAAATCGAATTGCATTTTTATTTAAGTTATGCAATTCCATATAATTTCTTGTACTGATACAGCCATTCTTAATTTGTGTTGCCTTGCTTTCTTTTATGAATTTGGTTTATAAACTGTACCCAGAATTCAGCGTTAACGTTTCAAGAAATTCTCAATTTATAGAAATTACACTGCAGAGGAATACAATGAGAAACCAATTTGCGGTTTTCGAAAACTACATTAAGAAATGCAGTTTCTAAAAAAGGAAAAAAAAAAGCTAATTGTAAACTTCAAATAATAGTGTAACAGTCTCGAAGAATTTTTTATTAAAGTTTAGATAATTTTGAAAAAAAAATTAAGCAGGCAAAAAATATAGAAATTGTAAGATTAGAAAGACTTGATTATCTGATCTTTATAAACAGAATTCAGTTTTACACTTCGAAATTTTAAACCAAATGGTTACGAAAAATCTACTAATTCAAAATAAGTGCCACAAAGGTTACAGGTTTAGATTAAAAAAATTATAAAAAATAGCTGTTCAAAATGGCAAAGAGTAAAAGAAAATTGCTTAAACAAGTGTCGCTTGAAGACTTGTGCATTTGTTTTTAAAGAAACTACTTAATTAGTTAAGACATAACTGCGCATGTATTTCACTGGATATCTTGTGCACATGCCTTAGGAAAAATGTTTTCTCAAGTAGGATTCTGTTTTGCCAATGCAAAAAATATCCGAACTAAAAGAAAAAAGCATTTCGAACAGGTTCCTTCGAGGTGTTATAAAAAGTAATTTTATGCTTAGTAATGTGGCTATTTTTATGATCGAGTGGTGACAAGGTTGACGCCATGCTTAAAAACATCGACAGCTTTTTAATGTCTCACGCAAATTTTCCTTTTTAACTTATACTTTTTAGTACAATCACAAACTCTTCGTATGAAAATTACGAAAATAACAAACAGAAAAATAAGCGAAAAGCTATTGTAAGCAGCAGGAAAGTACAACAGCAACAGGAAATGGTAGTCATCCAGAATGCTTAAATATTATCATAAACAAACTATAATATTCTTGTGTTATTGCTTTTCGCAAAAAAATACCAGCTGCAGTTATTCATAATATTTGGTTTGAAATAGACGCAAAAAAATCTTCTTTTTTGATAATTGATGCAATTACTGCAATTTATAAATAATGGAAACTTCATTTTAAAATCATAAATAAATATGATTAATACAATGCGCAACAACTGCAGCTGTTAACTTTTATTCTCCATAAGTTAAATTAGCTGAACCTATGACCGATTTTAGGCTACATAAATATCAAGTCGTAGAAGTAAAGAACTTACAAAATCTAAATAATAATAATTAACAGTAATTAACAGTTTATTAGAGTGATGGCTTCTGAACTCAAATGATGTATAATGCAAAACTTGAAGCCATTTCACTAACTTGCGAAATATTTATAACTGGCCTAAGGTACTAATAATTCACAATTCTAACTGCTAAATCACATGAACATTTTCTATCTCTTAAGTTTCACTTAAAGTTTACACTTAAAAAAAAACGAATTCCCTAAGCTAGTTAACAGAATGTGAGTCAAATGATTTCTTTAGGATGCAGAAAATTGTAGACAAGAGGTGCAGCATTCGGGTGATGAGATTTGAATAAGATTTTGAAATTTTTTAACTAGTACGACCGAGTCACAGAATAAATAAAAAATGAAAATTACATTTTTAAAATTTTCATTTACAGTTTAACATATTTTGAAGAGTTTGCCGTTAAAACTTCAAAAAGTTATAAAAAAATAATTTTAAAATTTCAGAATTACGAGATTCAAAAGAAGCTTCAGTCTCCTCCTGATGGATCTTGATTTCAACACCTGAAACAATTTTGAGCTGAGCAGTTAAGATAGTCTTATTGGTTTAAGAAAGAAGAATCTCCTAGAATGTTTTCCTGGAAAACATATTCATATAGTTTAGTCTTTTTAGCTATCATGTATTTGAACCAAACTTTAGATAGACCGACAGCAGATTATAGATAACTTAAAAACAGAGTCTTAAGAAGGTTTTAAAACTCTTTTTTTTATTAAATCAGAACTTGAACATAAAATACCCTACCCGTGTTTACAATTCAGCCAACCACTTGTGGCAAGATAAGTTAAAACAGTAAATTCAGATTTAAAATAAGTTAGTAGTCAAAGATTACAAAATTCAATTTAACTCGAAGTTGGTTCACAAATCTAAGCGGCTCAGCAATTATAATGCAAAGCAGAAGATTATAAATCTTATCTGATCTAGTAGCAACCTAGTAACGTGGTCTCGAGGGGCAGAACACGTTCTGAATTAAACTAACCTTTTTCTTTAAATAGTACCATCTCTTCCTACCTCAATTTACATTCTGCCAGGGAACTGAAGCAAGAAACGGCAGTAAAGATCCAAAATACCTTTTTTTTAACGGCAGGCACTAGCCATTTTAGGCTTTGGCCATTACTGAGACCAGAAGCGGTTGTCATTTTATTATGGAGGCACCTAATAGGCAGCCATTGTTACTTCTTATGAAGGAAGCGAACGTTTACATCCCTGTCTTCTCCGGGAGCACTCTCGGTAAAGTAGTCGGAATCACTAACCACTTCCCCATCCGGGCAACAGGTCCAAAACATAAAATAACTGGTTAATAAAAAATAATAATAATAACCTAAATATTGAATATAAAAATTATTCTCAACATAGCAAAGCCAAATGCTAGAAAACATTACTGTGATGTTATTTCATCACATATTTATACAATGTATTACTTAATAAAGAAAATACCTAATTATTCAAGATGTAGCTGTGCATTTATTTCTCTGATCGTTTGCGCAAGGAAGAATTTTGATAAGTGACTAATCCTTAAGAATGAAGTTATCCATTTCGAACTACGACGTCGAAAAGTGAATTTGAGAAGCCGTTCCGGCTAATATGAAGTTACATCTCCACACTTATTATGTATCGTATTTTTATTACATATCGTAGAATTTATACGTCATTGTAATATGTATAAAAATGCATTTTAAAATTTCTAATCAATGAATTTTGTTTCTGATATAAATATAAAGCAAAGATAATAAATGATATAAATATAAAACGAAGATAATAAATGATATAAATATAAAACGAAGATAAACTAATAAAATAAAAGGAATAATCTATTAAGCGATATTTTTTACAGTGTAACAAACCTTGATAACATCTGTTCTTTGAATCAATTTCCAAGATAGTAATGATATCATTAATAATTTCCTTTCTGCAAAGGCTTTTTGTATGCAAATTGCGCAAACAGTAGCTCACGCCAACATCCAATTAAATGCAATATAAGAATACAGGCAGTGGCAAAACATACATTAACGAGGAAATGAAATTCCTCCGGAAAATACGAAAATTACCATAAACAAACTATATGAATCTGTTCCTGAACAATAAATATTATAAGGAATGTTTGCGGTTGCGGATGTTACGAGGATATCATCACTCATTATCTCGCACGAATAACTGATGTTATCTTATTAAATAAACTGTGAAATTTCTATACCTAACCACGTAAACATGTGTTTTACAAAAGAAAGAAGTTATAAAAGCTTCAGCAAGATTCATCATAGCATTCAGACATTTACGTGACTAAGAACTATGGCTAGAAAAATTAATTTAATTTTTCTGCTTCTGGTTGCTTGCATTATTTTAATGGTACCTCCTAACCTATGCCAGGATGAATCTGACAGAGAATTTTATGATTGCTTTATGTTTCAAATTTGCGACTGTGGTGAGTATGTTTTAAATATTACTTCGTTGTTGTCGTGGCTGCCTTTCAAATTACGTCAAATATAGTTGGCAGCCACCAACACATTACACTAACCACATTTTATCACTGTAATATATATCCAGATTGTTGCTCGTTGTTGTGACTTAGTTTCATACAGTGTAAAATACAGTCGGGATCATCTTTGCATCACTATAATATACAAGATGTGCCCATTAGTTTCAAGACAGTTTCCTATAAATAATTAACCAGACAGTTTCCTATAAATAAGAAAAATATTACTAACCTTGAAATAAATTTATCTCTTTCAAAAACATTTATCTCTTTCAAAATAATCGCCAGAGGAGTCATAGAATTTTTCCAAGCTTCTTTCGGTCGTCAAAACACTGTTTGTAAGCACTGGAACTAACTGTTCCCAAAATATATAGTCAAATATATATATGATGCGATATAAGGGACTCAGCCCGACCCTCCTCGCAGACCTTTACGTCGCCCTATGGCCTTTTTGCCGGCTGCGCCAGAAGCAACACCTTCAACAGACATAAAGAACATAACTAAAAAACAAAATTCAGATTAAAATCCCTACTGCAAGCTTATTATGATTAATCCTCTCCATCATTTTCCTGGCAAATGTTTTCATTAAAACCATTCTATTAAAATCATTTAAAATATCATATATATTAAAAACATCTTTTTTCTCAAACTCGTTTCTGATATCAGTAAAATATTTACATGTTTCCACATAATTGCTCTGCAGTGCCCTGTTCTTTACAGATATCACAGAGGTCAGAGTCTTGTAATTTAAACCTTTTAAAATAGAAAGGAAAACGGCCATGAGCTGTAATGATTTGGTTAACGTCAATGTCTGAACAACATAAACTTTTTTTAAGTTTAACAAATTTCATATAACCTTTATTTCGATCAGACCTTTCCCACGCCTCCCTCCATTTATCATAAATATAATTTTTCATAATAGTCATAGCTATCCTTGTTGATCCCTGTACATCAATATCACGAGTATTAACATCGGAAATTGCATCCTTGGCCAGTGCGTCCGCCCTCTCATTTCCAAAATGTCCAACGTGAGCCTTCACCCAATTAAATACAATATTTTGATCTTCTCTCAGGTCTTTATATAATATAATTCTCTAATATCTACTATTAAAGGGTTGTCTTGATCAGGTCGTGAGAGAGCTTGAAGAACTGTCAGACTGTCAGAATAAATATGTATATCATATTTCCCTTTAAGAGCCTTTTTAATACATTTCAGTGAATAAAAAGTTTTTCAGTGAATAAAAAGTATTTCAGTGAATATCAAGCTTCCGCTTGATAAACTGAGAGTTTACATTTATTATTCTCAATCTCTGTTCCATAATAATATATAACATATGCGAAAGCAATGGCGTCTCCCAGACCTGACCCGTCTGTATAAATGTCAATTTCTCCTATTTTTGAAGCATCCAAATAATACGATATATATATATATATATATTCTTTAAATGACCCTCTTAAGCTTTGAAAAAAGGAAAAAATCAGCTGGCGATAATTCAGAACAATATGGTGGGTGATTGATCACTGCAGTTGAATGCCTAGCAAGATAATGTTATACAGATAATGCTGTATGGGGCCTAGCATTACAGCGTAAAAGAACTGCTGTTGAAAATCACAAAGTTCCTTCTTAACTGTTAGTCGAAAAAACACCGCCTTGAAAAATACTGATTGGCTGATTTTCCAGGGACAAATTCTTGGTGAATATGTCCTGTGTAATCAGAATCACCTTAACCTTTGATTTCGATACCAGTGCCTTTTTTAGGGGAGAAGACGGCTTCTTCCATTGTGAACTTTGTCTTTTTGTTTCTGGGTCGTATCGTAGACAACAGTACTCGTCTTCCGCTATGATACACTTTTAAGAAACTGTTGCCCTGTCTCGCAGTAGTTAGCAGATCTTCACAGCAAGCTTTTCAGTCTGCTTTTTGCTGTTCTGTCAAAGTCCGAGGCACAAATCGAACACAAACTTTTTCACAGTTTCAAATAAAATTAACCTACAGCTTTCGTTGCTTATCCCAAGCATTTCTGAAAGTTGCTGGGCTGCACGTCTGTCAGCTTTTACCAAAAAACATTTTCCTCATTATTCTCATTCTTAGACGTTGAAGGGCACCCTAACTTTGGTTCACCTTCAACGTTTTTACGCCCACAATTAAAGCGATTGTACCACTCATTCATTTGTGTTCTTGATAACGATGCATCAATATATAACGCTGAAACGCGTTTGAAAATATAACGCTGATTTTTGTTGTTTGACTTCTGAATTAGCATCAATATATATTGTTCAAATCAACTCTAACATTTCAGTAGAAGATTTATGTAATGTGTAACAAAATTAAATGTTATAATGTTATTCTATCTGAAAGCAATTTGCTTTTTACATTGTCTTCTTAGCAAATGAAAATGACTCTGACATTTTGATATGGAAACAACAAAATAACCAGTTTAGATTAGCATTAACAAGAGTTGAGATATCACTCCTTCTAAAGATACATTTATTCTTTTACATTTTTATTTTATCGTTTGGCATTTTAATTTGTAAACAATTATTTTAAGTTGCGAATCTTTACTGTCCCTTCTCCCACACCGTTTTCCTAACAGAATGCAGATTTTAGCTCGCGTATATTTGAGTGAGGGTCTGATATTGTTTTAGTCAGAGCGCGTTCCGCCTTCTGAAGGCTAGTTACTAGTTGATATTCTACGATAGCATTCCTGTCTACGGCATTGCTTTATTCTTACAGATTATGCTGTCACGCCGATGCAGATTAGAACCAACTTGCGTTTAATTAACTCTGTGTAGCATTTGACTAATTAAGATTTATTTTTAATTTAAAATTCTACTTTTTAATTTCACGCCATAAATGCTGGATGGTTTTTGCAAGCACTATCAGTATTTTCTGCTCAACTTATTTGAGTTCTTAATAAAAGGGTCTTTTACATCCGCAGTAAGTTTCAGTTTGCTAACCTATATACAGCGATAAGTCGTTTAGCTCTACAAAGGAGTCTTAACTTAGTATATAAGTACTTTAGTGTAACTAAGTTACACTTGTATAAGTACTTATACACTAAGTTAAGGAGTCTTACCTTAGTGTATAAGTACTACTAAAAAAAAAAGCAACTTGATTAGCGCACCGTGTTCATCTAGGCTAATCATGTTACTTATTATTGTGGCCAGTTTCCATATCATGTTAAATATAGTTGTGAGGCGAAATATAATATGCAATTTCATAATTTTATTGAGAGTTTTTAAATTACTCTCAATAAATTTATGTAATTGTATTTAAAAATTGTAAGACATTTTTATTCCAAATGTATAGAGATATATGTTTTTTCATCTGAAATGAATGTAGTAGCTGAAACAAATTTTAAATAATAATTAAAGTTATCATTTTGCAGTCAATCACCCTTAAATACAAAATGTTGCATAACTGTTATAGAACTTGTAAATTTAAGTACCTTTACTTCACGATATAAAGAATGTTGACAAATGTAGTTCCTTGAAAACAGAAACTGAGATTGATCAGTCGACGTTTTGCGGAATATTTAACACGTGTTTGTATTTCTTTCGAATTCTTTCAACCAGGTAGCAAAATCTTTGCAATTGATAACTTTACAATGAAAATTTTCGGAAGAAATTGACTATGCTTTAATTATATTGTACAGGAAATTGCGTGGCAAAATATTTTCAACCATCTTGCTCAAAGCGCGCCAAAGATCATTTGACATATAGAAATATTACTGAGAGTCCATTGGTTCATCCTAGAAGCCATTTCCTCAGTAGCTATACAGATGTGCACTTGTGAAATATGCTTCCGGGGCTCGTGTTCGGGAGAAGGATTATTCAAAATTTGATGACTCTAGGTACCGTTGTTTTTTTCAAATTGCAAGAAACATACATACATTCATGAAGATTCTTCATTATTTAGTTTCTTTAAATATAATATAGGGCGATAATATTTGGTGGCAAAAATTTGAAAAGTGATTCTGACATTTAAAGTGATTCGACGCAAAATACCATTTTGAGACTAATAGTCCTTTTGGGCTAAAGCACATTCGGGCTAATAAATAAAAAACTAAAACATACTTAAAAATTTTTAATGCTATGGAATATTTATGTTTTAATTTTTAAATAATTCCTATAAGTGGAATCACAATAATTGGTACTAAATATCATTTGGGTAATAAAATCACATTGGGTGCTAGATATTGTACCAGTGTATACTATGCGTGAGTTATGTATACGTAATAACTCCAAATATGCATACTGTACATGTATATTCTGTGTTCGCTCTTCGTTCGATTGTAACTACAGTTAATATTGCAGAAAAATAATTTTTTTTTTCAATTTCTTCTACGACTTATTTTTTTAAACCTAATTCCACAAAATATCAAATACGAACTCTCAAGATTAGTTAGAATTAAAAAAAATTAAAACGAGCGGGGGGGGGAACTTAAAGCAACCAGACGCACTGTTTAAGTATTTTGTATAAATGGTTACAGACATATCAATAATTAAAAATAAAAAAGGATATAGGCTTATAACAAACGGTGAAACATAAAAAGGAGAAAAGCAAATTAAAGTGCTAATGCATTGTGCGAAAGAAATGATAGGAAAACCAGAATAGCCAATCAGTGAAGGAGCAAAAGTTAAGAGAACAAAAATACATCAGCCTACAACAGAAGGGAAATAAAAAATAAAAAATGAGTCAAAAATAATGATTGAAAAAATTTTAAAATTATGCTATAAACTATATAACCAACATATTTTACTTCCATTATGTGAAATTTAGTAATTCAAAACAAACATATTTTTAGTAAACACATTGAAAGTAATGGTAACAGAAGCTGAAAAGAAAATTACAAGATCATTAAAAAAGCGATATTTTACATTACAGAAGCAATTGGTGAAAAATTTAAAAGGAAAGTTTATCGTACAATAATAATAGTAAATTAATTTGTTCTCATGTATGTATTTTTTTCTCTTCCTTGAGACATGTTTTACTGAAAGCGAAGGAGATTTGAAAAACGTTAAAGTAAGAGCTGAACAACATAAATGCTCAGCGTAACACAAGAACTTCATAAAACATACGTAAGCTCTATACAAGGCCTTACTGATATAAATACTGAAGTTCTTTATTTCGAACGAAAATAATATCGAAGAATGTGTTTCGGAAAATAGTTCCATTTATATACAACCTAAAAATAAATATTACGCTCGAAGGGGCGTTTTTCTCATTTACATACACGAGAGAGCATTTAGGCTAATTTTTTTGGACTAAAAATATTTAAAAATAGCCTATCTTTAGAATTTCTGATGGATAGTCTCATGCGCTGGAGATAAAAATAATTTTTCCGTTCAGTGTTGCCATTCTCGCTTTGAAATCGTTGAATTTGTAAATCAAAATTTCGTTAAAGTTTTACAAACTATGAAATAGATAATAAATCAAATTCGAAATTCAAAATTCGGACGTCCAGGTGCCCATGTTCGAGTGGAGGATTACGTTATTCAAAATTTGATAGCTCTAGGTACTGTCGTGTTTTCACAGTGCGAAAAATTTACACACATTCATGCATATTTTTCATTACTTAATTTCTTTAAATATAATACAGGGCGATAATAGTTGATGGCAACAATTTAAAAAGTGATTTATAGTGAAACGCCACAAAATGCCGTTTTGAGACTAATAGCCCTTCTGGGCTACCTCTCCTTTGGGCTAAAAACAAAATTATATTATTGCAGAACTCTATATGCTAATTGGATTCATTTGATTAGCTTTTGCGCTTGTTTAGATAAGACATAATCAATATTTAAAAGCCTTCTTTCAACTTATTACAGCAAACAAAGAATTCAAAAACGTGTAATTGCAAATGCACTCTATGAGGCGTAAAAATAATAAATGTTACAAAAGCTGTGAACAGGTTTTCTTTCCTGCACATTAATTGCAAGCAAAAGAAGAATCATAGAGCTCATATATACAGAAGTAACTTGCATAAAATTCAGTTCTATCAAGAATAATGAAATTGTTGAGGAAAGTTACATGTACTGTACTGTGTATGCTTCAATCCCAATCGGTAGTAAGTTAGGCTTTTAAATTTAAAACTGTAACGTTTCAGAAGGCTTGGTTTGGTTTATTTGAATATGACAAAGCATTCCAGGGCTACTTGCCAAAGGCGAGGCTGCCTTCGTAGAGGACTTTCTATGGGAAAATGGCTCGTATGCGCATTAAACGAAAACGTCCATGCAGCCAGCCCGTTCGTAGGAATTCGAACTACGGACCGAAATGCTCAGCCGCTGGTAGGCGGTTTCAAAACAAATCTCACAAATATTCACTCCGGCAACTTAAAACCTAGAGCAACCTTAAAAGTATACAAATTATTCGTTCATTCATATGAAAAATTGTTGTCCTAGGAATAACATTTCTGGTGGTAGAGGAAATTTTGTCCCCGGAAATTAGTTTGATGTCTTTAAGGTTATTTACTTATTAGAATTTCTCTGTCTAATTATTCTTGCCTAAGAGTATTTTTAAATTCTTTTGAATCTAAAATTTGTTTTCGTTTTGCAACTGAAACAATTTGTGTGTTACACAGATATATTTAATCATTCAAATATTGAATTTCTGAACTAATACAAATATTTTTTAAATTAGACATGCTGGGTGAATACGAGCAGTGTTGGTCTATATCCCCTACATCGGTAAGTGTGAAAGGTTTATGCGATAAGTAATAAAGTGTAATTTTCAAGCATAAAGTTTTAAAATCGTTCTTGAAAAAAGACCACAAATAAATCAAATTACTTAAAGATGGTTACATTCAAAATAAAGTATGTAATTTCATATATCTTACGTATAAATAAATATGTAATTTGATACGATTTGACAAAACTGTACATCAGGAAAATACGCGATAGAAATGTAATGTGAACAGTAGTAAAAATAAATTTTTCCTAAAATAAGAAATAGGATTCGGTTCGAGAAAAGTCTCTCATCTTTTTATTTAGTAAATTTATTAGAAAACATATGCATTAATTTAATAGATAGTACATGTATAAAAGAATAACAATATGATGAATTTTTGAATGCGTTTTTTAAACAGAACTAGCCAGAAATTAAAAAACCTCATTAATCTGCTGACTATGAAAATATGTTTCATCACCAAAAGGCTCCAATAGATTATCAACAACGTATTGGTGGTTACCAGCTAATACACGCCACATACACGGTATTTGTGTTACAACATACGGAATTTGTGTTAACACAGGTACCGTATGACGTGTTAATACAAGTACCTTATGACGTGTTAACGCAAGTACGGATCGCAAGTTAATGGAAGATCAGTTACTTGAATCCCGAAGAGGTAAAATTAATTTCTCCTGTTTTTTGGTTTCGAACGTATAAAAAAGCTTCTACAGTAGCTGCAGAATTAAAATTTGACAGATGATAGTTCATCCTATCCGGACTTGGTCGACTAATATTGTGAACCTTCTTAGCAGAATTTTGACTAAAGGAGAATGTAAAGAATTGTCGTATTATCCCAATGCGTGATCTCGCATCATTCTCTCGAAAAACTTTTTAAATAATTACATTTAAACCAAAAATTAACATTTGTTATAGCAAAACGTCATCAACTCAAACCAGCAGAATTGAACTCATAAGTTTTATTGCATTCTTGAAAAACAATTTATTACTTTAAACTTAATTTAAGAATAATAACTAAATAAATAAATAATAGCTTTTAGCTGCTTTTTTACATTTTAATTTTCTTCCTTTGTAAAAAATAACTATGTAGAGCATTTCTAGGAAATAAACAGTACTTTAAGCATGAATTTTCCATAAACATTTTTAGTATACTATATTGTAATCATTCTAGTTATGATATAATGATTGATTTTATAGGATTTACGCTAATCAGAATTTTATTAAAATTCTTAGATGTTGCGAATTTCATCTTCAGTATTTGAAAATTTAGTTTTATAATTCTTTTCCCTCTGAAACTGTGTCAGGGCAATCTCATTTATATTGTCCCTCTCCAGTAACTGAAAATTTTTTACCTATTTCCATTGCATGCAAAACTAATGATTGCACGACACGTATATTTACCAAAAAGAATGTGAAATTTTAAGTTAGATTAGATGCTATTAAGAAAACTTAATTTATGCAAATGTTAGGTCACTAAAGTTATTTACCTATGCAGAAGTAATATTCCGTTCAACATCAATATTTTACTTGAAATTCTTGAAATTTTTTTCGGAATCCCATACTACACCCTAAATAAAGATAATAAATCTGGAAGATTACTTCTAGCAGCATAAATAAGCCTTTTTTCTTACATTTTCTCTTTAAATACATAGTGAAACACTCCACAAAGTGTTTTTGGTTATATTATTTATAAAAATTCATAACTGACAGAAAATAAATCATTTTCGAACTTATTAGAATTTATTTGTATCGCATTCATGAACAAGCAATTTAAAAAAAAGTATCATTATCATTCAAACAAAACTTAAGCAAACGTATAATAAAACGTATTCGTATTCAAACAATTTTCAATAAAATTTTATGAAAAATGTATACATTTATTTTCATATTATGTAAATAAATATTTCCCTGCAATTCTAATAATCGACATAAACCATCAACTTTTGACTTAGAAAATTATCTATAGGTAAATCTGAAACTACAGTAAACAATAATAAATTTATTGAAACTGAAAGAGAAGCAATAATGATTTGAATTTATTTTCCTCCTTTAATTTAATTGTTTATTTAATTATTTTTTAAATGTTATCTAACTAGTTTGGTTTTATTTTTTTTGGTTTTATTAGATTATGGCAAAGCACTCGAGGGCTATCTGCCTTAAGGGAGGGATGCCTTCGGGGAGGACTTTCTAAGGGAAACTGGCTCGTATACACGTTACACATGGGGAAAACCACGAAAACGCCCATGCAGCCAGCCCGTTCGCGGGATTCGAACCTCTGACCGAACTACCAGTGTTCAGCGACGTTACCGCTCGGCCGCTGGTGGGCTCGTTATCTAACTAGAAACAAGCTTTCATAAAGGACTCAAGAGAAACTTATTTATATATTTCAATAATTACAGCTGTATGAAAATTCAAAATAAACAAGCAATATAAAAAGTCAATTTCTACTTAGGTCAACAAAGGAAAATTTTATTTTAGTTACTTTTTATTAACATTATTAACATTTTTCGTTTCTAACTTATGATGCTGATGGTGGTCTATAATTTCTCATTCTATCCATCTCTTGTAATGTTCCATAATTAGACATGCTAAAAAAGCCTCTAAACTAGGATTCGAAATAAATTAATTTTTGTATTGTATAGATTTCTATTCAGAGCACCCTGATAATAAATTAATAATTCAACTTTTATATAAAAGTAAAAATGCCAATCTATGTGCATGCTCAGCATATAATCGTACAACCGGGTAAATTCGATAAATTAGAGTAAAATAATTATATACATAAATTTTACTTTCATTTAAAGGGAAAGTTATGCTCATTCTGAAGAACTCCAAATTAAGAAAATCAATAACTAGTTTAGGAAAAACATAAATTGTAATAAAATCACTTATTTTGTTCTCACCTGCATAATTTCCTCCCCTATATTAAAAACAACTGAAAAATTTTAGCCATATGTGACTTTTATAATAGTGATTAAAGTAATTGAAATTTATGCAAACTATCAGAATTAAGTTTTCAGTGTCGTTGAGTTGTTAGTAATATTAAAATATAAAAATAATTAGTGTATGTCATTAGAATTCTGTTGAAATGCTTTGTATACTCTTCCTTTATCACGTTCCAATAATAATAATAATAACTAAGAAAACTGTAAAATAGGGGAAAAATCAACAGATACTTTGAATCCTAGATTAATTAAAGATTTTGGAATTCGTATAATGTTGGTAAAAGTAATGAATGAAAACTACTAAGATGCTGGTAGTTTGAACATGAGTTGTTGAATGAATGAACATGAATTAGTTTTCTTTTTGAAAAGGCTTTCACAAAAGCATCCTTCCTCTTACGCAGATTGTTTTACCTTACAAGTAAACAAGAAACAAACATGAAACTCATTTGTCCCACTTCTATATCAGTATTTATACTGGTAATCACAACATACGTTTAGGTATATCTAAAAAGTAGAAATTTCTCAAAGTAATTAGGCAACTTTTGGGAAGAGTGCCGAAATTCTACTGGACACTTTGATAGTACTTAAAGAAATGCGTAGAGATAATATGTGCTTTTTGTTATTAAATATCAAATTCAAATTAAATTAATTTTTATGTTTATGATCTATGTCAGATGCATCAATTAATTTTTTCAGTTTCAAGATCATTCTCGTGGGACAATGGCGGACTGCAGTTCTTTAGAGCCTGCAAGCAGTTCTATGCATGATATTGGAAAAGCGCTGTGTTCACATGATAGAGATGAAGCGGTGAGGCAAACTGTAGGGTTTCTCTTTTCTTCTTTTACATTTCCTGTCTATTGTGTAGTCTAATCTTCAAATTTTATCACAACTCAGATTACGAACAAGTGTGAACAGTTGTCTGGAAGGTGCATCTGAAAAAAAAAAGAGGGGCGGCTAAGATGCAATGACTACTCTGCATATCTTTTATTTTTATGAAAATAATTCAAAATATTTCCACATAACAATTCAAAAGAAAATCACAACTTTATGTTAATATAATCTGACAATTAGTAAGAAACAAACTTTTAACAAAATCTGACTTTTTACAATAGTATTTTATTTAAACTTAGTACTTCAACATATCTCGAAATTATTTTAACTTCAGAATATTTCATTTATAGTTTTTAATAGAATCATAAGCAAAATTCAATTATTTGAACAATTTAAATAATTATGAAAATGGTGTAAGTTTTTGAAAATGATATTTCGTTTATTTAATCTCATAAGTATCAACTGTATAACAAATTTGCGTGCATTCAAATTCACAGAATGTCGAACATTTTATTAACATTTATAAATAAGCTGTAAAATTCTAAATATCTCGATATTAGAAAACATCGTTTCTGAATTATTTCCAACAATCAAATAAACTTTTAGACTTTTACGAAACACCTGTGACTTTAAAAATACGTAGTTACGATTAACATATAATTAAAATATTAAAGCAATAAACTTTAATGTCCTTTTAATTTAAATTAAAAGTTTTGTTATTTCATGAATCTGTAAGTTACATTTAAATCAGATTGAATTTTCCGTTTATAGTGAGTAATCATTTGCGTAATCGCAAAATTAAATTTTGAAGTATATTTGCGGCCTTTTAGCTAAATAAATAAATAAAAGAATCTTATAAAAAAAAGTGAAAAATGTTTTACTCTTTCCAAAAATTCGATATCTTATTTTTTGTTCCGATTTCAACATTTGAATAATATTCTTATTTGACAATTTAGTTAAATGTAAGTTTTACAAGTATTCATTGAAAAATATCCTTTACAAATTTTCGAGAGGTTTATTTAAAACGTAGTTAAAAAATAAAACTTTCAAAGTGTTTTAGAATTGTAAAAGTATTTATTTTATTAAAATATGACACGCGTAGAAAAGAACAGCGAAAACTACGAAACATGCGTTTTCCCTGTCAAATGCAAGGAGGAGGGGAAAAAAGTTTTAAGATATTGAACATCAGAATTCAAATTAGCCACAGTTAACAGTTATAAATTAGCCATAGCTAACAGTTATAATAAGTAGGTCAAACTTGACCTTGATTTGAAGAAAATTGGAAAGGAACGCAATGCAAAGACTCAGTGCATTTCCAAAGAAAAACTGGCACAATTCTTGCTTCTTTCATAGCATTTTACTGCATATTCTAAAGTATTTGCTTTAATAAATTTGATCATCTTTAATTATATTAAATTTAAGCATTTTTGAGACAAATTGGAAATAAAGTAAAAGAAAATTGAGCAAAGGTAATATTTAAAGTGATAAACTGTGTAAGCACTTTTGGTTCTAAAATTTAGAACTGAAATTGTTAAGTAAATTTTATCAGTGAATATGAGAGACTTTAAGTATTTTCATTCTCCAGTTGAAGGACCCGTTTGGTTAGTTTTAATGATAGAAAAGCTGAGAAAATGGTCGAAAGGTCAATATAATAAGTGATGGAAATAAAAATTATGTATTTAAACATTGTGTTAAGCATCAAAATCTAAAAATATATTAACAAGCGGAGTAGTCAAAATTAAGTTCTGTCCAGTATATCAAGCTCTGTCCCAGAACATAATCATGGTTAGAACATGAAGTGTTCAGTTGTAAATGTAAGCCTTTCAGAGCAACAGAAAGTGTACATTTTGGTTTATGTAAGAAGTACCTTGTTTACAGTATGTGCTAGAAGTAGTATTTCTCTAAACCAATGCAATTGTATTCATGTTTCGTCATTCTTCTAGTGATATTCCTTATCTACATTCTGGACGGAGGCAGTAATGTTTATTTTCAACTCTTCTAAGGTGTGCGTATTTTTCGTAAACACAGTTTGCTTTAATTTAGACTGAAAAGAGTTGTACATATTGGTGGTCGTAAGCTGTAGATGCAATTCTGTCATTAACAGATCTCCTCCAGTACCTTCGTATTGGAATCTGTTACATGATATTTCGCCCCATCTATATCCAATAGTGACTTTCATTCTCGCATTATAATGGAATAAGCTTCCAGATATTTTATTGGAATGTCTCGGCGTCTATGTAAGTTGTTTAAGAACATGTTGTTGTTTATACATGATAATAAGAATCCGACAATCGTCGCCTTGACAAGGCAAACCGCAAACTAACTTTCTCAAGATACACAAGATAATTTTAAAAATTTTAAAACACATGTAAGTTTTCAGGGTTTCATGCTTGATAATTTTGGCCAAAAAATATGATGAGAACAGGAGTAATCTGCAAAAACACTTCATCTGAAACGGAAATGTTACAACAAATTAAGTTTTCAAAAATTAATAGTCAGAGACGAAGCAAACAATATGACAGTGCTCAATACCTGCTTTCAGCAAAATATTTTGGGCCCTTCCTTACTAAACTGAATTATATACCTCAAATATAATAGAAAAATACAGGACTCGGAGGACCACTGCAAATGAAATATGAATTAAATTAGGTGCTCTTAAATATAAGATATATTTTTCAATTGACACCCTGTAATTAAAAATAATCTCATTTAAGCTTCATCATGCACAGGGAAGAAAATAAGTGTGAGATGGAATCATGCGTGGGAAGAATGTAGTAATAGAATAGTTTCGCTGTAATGATTATACTTGAACATATATTCGATGATTAAATGAGAATGAAAAAAATCTTTTGAAAAGCATTTGTTTATTTAAAAATATATGTTGAATGTTTTGTTTTAATTCTTTGTTATAGTATATTTATTGATGGTAAAGTAAAAATAAAAATACTTTAAAGAATGATTAAATTAATTCTTAAATATTAATTTTATTTTCATACTTAATTTAATTTTTAGTACCCTTGTTTCAAACAAGTCGTTGAAGGTATGAAACAATACGAGGTAAGTATCTTTACTTTATTTTCAAAATATTTCATTCAGAATTTAAAATCTTGATTGAAAGAAATCATTCAGGTGTAAATACAGTTATTCTATAAAATAGGAAATGCAAGGAATCATCCAGAAGTTTCTGAAAAAGGTAGTCTACACGAGGAAACAAAGTTGCTCAGCGACACAGTAAAGTCTCCTTGCAGATATGTCGCTTGACAGTATTTCATCCATAGAGGCTGATTGTGTCTGAGTTGCTTTGATATAACAAACCAGTCAGTCAAAGCGGATGACGTGTTTTGTATCCAATGGGAACACTCCATCGGTCTCGCAACAAGCATAATAATTTGAAAAGTTTCAATAACTCCATTTTTCAGACCTTAATTTAAAAAATAAGCTACAATAATATTAATAATTATAATAATCAGGAGACGTAATGGTATACAGAAAGTAGTTTAGACAGAAGTTTTTTACCTTCGTTTTCGATAATACCTAGTAAAACATTTTTTTATTGCAGTCGTCATTTAGATAAACCCATCTTTAATCAAATGTCAGTATGTTATCTATTATTTTTTTCCTGCTAAATAGTGTTCATACAGAATTGTATAAATTGTTCTGCGTTGAGCCATACACCTCGGCAAAAGCGGGTGAACATTATGTTTTTCGGCTTTTTAAACTGTAAATCTTGGTTTACTATTTTTGTTATTGTTATTACAGATGCTCACAGACTCGCAGTTGATTTCTGCGTCGGCGGATTTTCTCTTGTTAGCAGAGATTTAAGTTCAGAAATATTACAAACAGTACATATAATTTTTAGGTATTCGTTTGGAGTCTTGCCATGTAGAAGTAATGACTGACGGTTTTTCCCTTTCTGATTAATAGTCTTGCTTATTTCGAACTCGTAAATTTTAAAATCATTAATTTCAAAACGTTTTTGTGTTATGGATAATAGGAGTATCTTCTTCGGAAAGCCTGAAAACATACCATTCAATCCCAGCTTGTTTACATGTGACATTTTTACAGAAGAATGAATTTAAAAGGTAGCAGACAATATTTCTCATTTAAAAGAATAAGCTGTTGCCAGAAATTTTTATTCAAAAAAATATTTGCTTTTTCTAAACTCCTTATTGAAATCGTTCTAAAAATGTGTAAAAACATTGTGCATGTACACATTTTAGATTTCTGTACATTTACATAAATATCGCTAAATGTTGCAATAAAAGTGAAATGACGTAAAGAAATTTCCAAAAGTTGAAACGAAATTTTTGAACCTGAATATAAAAGTATGTACTCATGTATATATAAATTTCATTTGATTTAGAGTATGTTTGACATGATAGTGATTGTTGTGTAATAGAGATAATAATAATAATACATTCTTTCATTGCAGAGTGATTTGCTCAAGAGATTTGAAGTGAAAACAAAACAACAAATAGATAGAGCAAAGGTAAAGTATAGTTCTATTTCTTCCTATTTACTTTTTTATATTATATTCCCGTTGAATCCTGAGAGTTACACTGTACTCTTAGTGGCTTTTGGAAATAGATATTTTCTAACAAATCATCTGCATTTATCCTTTCTTACAGTACTTATCCTTTCTTACAGTACGTTTAATTTTTACAAGAGTTTATACTTATTTCTCTTTTTCTTTACGTTACATTATTATTTACATATTTGATTATATTGTTTGTAAACATTTTTATATAATTAAGAGATAATAATTAAATATAAAACTGGTAACTATCCACTTATCAGGAAGAAGAGAAATCAAAATAGAAACAAAGCAAACAACACAGTAAAATAATACATAACAAATAATCGAAAATTCTTTGATCTTTTCCAAAGAGCAAAAATTTCAAAAAAATTTCGAGCCACGTTTCTGAATTATATCTGGTTGATTATAAAAATCGCGAGAAAGTGAAAAAAAAAACTTATGCAATTTAAAGCAAAAATGTAAGGCCATTACATTGTTTATATAATATTAATAAAGAACGCTATTAAAATTAATAAATTTTTTAATCAATCACCAAGATATAATCTGATTCGACATGACCCTCAACAAATCATACTATACAAAAGTAAACAGTAAAAAATTATCTTTGTACTGTTTATTTTAATTTTTTAAAACTAATTTCTCAGCATGCTGACTTTGATAATTAATAATCTTAATTGTGAAATTTCTACACTGTTTATTTACTTTACATTATACGGTATTTCTCCCTCCTTCTTAACATGTCTTCGTAGTATAGTGCTCACCACGCTCGGCGGGTATTCGAGAGGTCGGTGGTTTGATTCCCGGTGAGAGCAATGCTCATTTTGACATCTCTCAGCATCAAAAATCCTAATGTTTCTACAACATATACAAAGAGAAAGAATACACCGTAACTTCGCTGACTGGATATCCTGTAAAACTCACTTTGCTGAAAATATACTGTCGCGAAAAGTACAATCTAAACTCTATGTTTAATAATAGGCAGTCATATTATTTAGGACAGGGCTTCTTAAACGTTTTTCAGTCGCGACCCCTGGAGCCCATAAAATTTACGAAAATGTTTTGGGACTCCATAAGCATTGCACAAATCCAACACACGAGTGAGTTAAACTGTCAGTTGTTTCACTTGTACTGTAATATACTGTTGCAGTTTTATGCCATTAACTTTAACTTCTAATTTTAACACATAGAACAATGTGAAAATTTTAAATAAGTAACGGACGAAATGACTGCGTCACGTGCAAAGCAAGTAAAACGAACGTTTAAATTATAAAAAGAACGTTTTCGTTTTTTCTTTGTCCGTATGGTCTTATCTTTATCTATTTTCAGATACATTGTGTAAAAATATTTGGTAATTGTAAAATTATTACAATAAGTTAAAGAAATATCAAAACTACTAAAATTTTTGGCGACCCCTTGCTACAGGTCTCGCTACCCACAGTTTAAGAAACTCTGATTTAGAAAAGAGCATCTTTTTATTTATCAAAATAGTGAATTCAGCAAAACTAATCTATTACGAAACATGAAGCTTTAATATTGTTATATCCTTTTAAATATGAAACTTTTTCAGGTCTGCATTTTGCCTTATCTAATGAGGTGCGAAGAACAGGACCGCGAGTGCATGCGATAAGGTAACTGATCCTTGTACTTTTTTCCACTAAGAAGCTATTTTAGAAATTCGTTTTTAATCTAATCCTTTAAATATTAATAATAAATAGATAGGAACTGTGAAACTAGTAAACTGGCTTACCCTTTTTGAATGATTCAATTTCCGTCATTAAATGAACTTATTCTGCGTATTTAAATTGCTAATAATATTTTTTCTTAATTATAATACAGGTTACTTCTATTTCTAGCTATTTTGTAATTACCTTCTATTAGCCATGATTTAGTGTAATTTATGGATGTTGTCTTTGGTATTACCGGGTTTATATTATATGTTATCTGTAAACCAGTATATCCCATATATGTCTTTTTAGCTCCGCCGGTAGTATGATAGGAAAATTTTTATGCATTTAAAATCTGATTTAAATATTGCAAGAAAAGAACTTAACGCTTTTCTGATATAATGTTAGCTTACAATCGATAAAACTTCCTACTAAAACATTTCATATTGAAAATATTAATTTATATATCGCTGACGTCACGCTGAATAATATAATAAATCAAAACATTGCTGAATAATATAATAAATCAAAACATAGTCACAAGTACGTAAGTTAGGATAGCTTTGAAGCACAGTAGAAGATGATTGGAAAATGAGCTACTGAAGTTCTGCGATATATTTTTGATCCTGATAGCTAAAAATTAAGTATGGAAAATCATTGAATTTTTAGTAACTATAATATAATACAATTAAGAATAAAGTTGTTTAATTAATTGAAAGATTATATAAGGATAAATAGTTGCTACTGAATTACAAAAAATAACAAATGATAACGTTTCCGAAAAATTTCTAAGATTGATCACATAGGCATGTTATTTTATTAATGAAGGAAAGCCTTCGATTACTTGCAACAACTTCCTTTGCATTTTATTAGAAACATACTCTAATGAATAATAAAAAAATAATTTGTCGAGTCATTAGGGTTTCTGATGCTGGAGACGTGAAAAATGTGCAGTGCTCTCGCCGGTATTCGAATACTGGACCATCCAAATACGCGTCGAGTGTGCATCCAGTTACACCATGAAGGCATGCGGAGGAGGGAAAAGAAATGTTATAAAATTATTAAAAACATAAAACAAGTTTTAAGAAGAAATCTGGAATATTTTCAGTCGAAAAAAATTGAAATTAAAATATGCTAAACATTGTATGTAATTTCCTAATTTCTACCAGGTTAACAAATGCAGAATCCGAGAGACCTTTCTCTGTGGTTGACTTATTTTGTATGAAAATCAGAAATTACAAATTAGAGAAATTATGATTTTTCTGTGCTTACGTTTCAAAAACAGCTTACATAAAAAACATGTTTAGTTATACATATATTAGTGAAGAATTTTCTCAATGTTGCTCAATGCTCTATTTGTGTACTTTATACGTAAGCAATTTGTCTTCAAGTAACACGCCGAATAACGATTATTCAAGGTGATAAGCCAACAAGAATCAAAATAATGTTCATTAATCTGTAGGAAAAGTTTCGAAGGTTTAAATATTGAATATACTTCTTCAACTGCTGACGTGCAAATGTCGAAAGGCAAACCTGTGCCTTTCGACCTATGCAAACTTGTGCTTACGTGGTAATAACGACAGGAAGAAAGTCAATCTGTTGGCGACATTGATGAAAAATGAAAACAAGCATGAATAATTTCCTTAAAAGCTGAAGGTTAAGACGGATTGGAATTGGGATCGTTGACTAGAACTGAAAGATTTTTATCATTTTGCAAACCCTCTAGAAAATTTAATTCGCCAACGAAACATGTTTTTTTAATTAATTTTTGCTGAAAAAATATAGAAAATGTGATTTTCTGACCAACATTGCTGGGCAGTACAAGATTTATATTTCTTTTGTCCTAACACATGCCTTATTTTCCTTAGCTCCACATTTTAAGGCTTTCTTAGTTTGACACAATACAAACTAAACCCCACTGGCAGAGAATCGTGAATATACTCCAGGAGTTCACATCAGAAATGAGGTCTTTCAATATGGAACTGCTTGTTTTATTGATAAAAGAAAAAAACAATCCGAAAGATGAAATTCTGTAAAATGCGAGCAATTTTATAAACTGTATATAAATTATGTACAATATTTCATTTATGGACAGTATATATTTCGCCACCGTATTTCTATTTTAGTATTATTAAAGTGTTGTAATAAACGAATTAAATACTTTCCTTTGATTTCTTGTTGAAAACTTCATTTGGTATACGTCCAAGGATACAGACTGCATTAATGACGTACTGAATTACCACTGTAGTTCCTACTCCTATGTTATTATGTTAGAAGCTGTGTAGAATAATTAGAAGTCGTCTAGCCTTGAAATGGTCCGTCTGTACTTTAAAGAAGCTGACCATATTATCATCATGATAGCTTTAGAGGTAAAATCATTTTGAAAGCAATTAAAAGGCTAAAATATTGTTTCATTCTATTCTTTAGTTTAGCAGTGCGATGTATTTTCAAAAAGACCTTTCGACTGCTTAGTTCCTTGCTTAAATCTAAAGAACCGTCAATTGTTCAAATGCATAGCGCAACTGACTATTCTCAGTGCTTAACACCTTTCTGAAGATCACTTGACATCTATTTGTGATGAGAGAGGAGACTTTTGTTTAGTTATGAGAGCTCTTATATTTCTAATATTTGTCTCTTTCTGATCTTCCATAACCGGTTCGTCTTTCACACTTTCTGGACAACCTGAAAATAATTGTACAATCCGAAAATTTTAATTCTGATAAAATCGCACTATCAGTATATATCTCTTTTTGGTATACCTTTACTATGCCTCGCTTAGAATTTATCACAGAATAATATTGCATATTGCAGTGCTCCATTTCTCTAATGCCACATTAGTACGCTAACCAATGCTAACTGTTGTGCATAAACCTTGGTACTTGTAGGCTGCATTGATTTTCTTAACTGCCTTGATGAAAAATAAAATTTATATGCATAGCTTTCCTTTCTAAAATTCTAAATTTTTTCCAATATAGAAAGAAATTTTCTATCAATAATTTCAGGGACTAGGCTGAGGCGAATGAGGCTGGCTTCAGTTCAACAACTACGAGAAGCGCAAAAGTACTGAATGTAAAGCTATCCACGGAATCTTTATATCCCATATAATGCATAAAAATACACATATTTAGTTTTCCATCATAGTTGATGAAATGCTTGGATATGATTTCGCAGTCATTATTTTTTTGACACGGGTAATAGCATTGAGCTACCTCCCATGTAATTAAGAAATTTTTGTGTAGGAAGTGGTAACAAGTAGTATATATAAATGTCTGCTTACATCTTAACAGGACCGTCATGGCGAATGCTTAAGGCGAACTGGAGATAAGCAATGAAATATTCAATTAAAAGTCAGAAAACTTATACGAGTTTTCGGACCAGTTTTCTCACCATGAAGGATGCATGAATATTTCCTTACGTTTATTAACACCCAACAAGTGTATTAGAGAGGATTATTATTGGAGAAGTATTAGAGAGGATTATTATTGGAGAAGTATTAGAGACCTAAGAGGAATTAAAGTTATTGAAAAATAAAAGACCTCATCCCATTCTTCTTCCCTCCATCTACAATAGACATCATCTTATCTAAAACTAAAAATATAATGCTGATAGACTGGCAAAGAAAGGTATTTCCACCCCTCATGTTGATGCTGAACCTTTGGCCTACCTTGAACTATACTCGAGAAGAAAGGTTTTAATTAATAATTCTTGCAGACAATTACCGACACACTTATGGTATCGTAGTGCAGATCTTGCTACAGCTATTGGTTTCAAGGGTGACAAGAAAGGACCAAAAGGCTCTGGTTCGTTTGATTTCAGGACATTTAAGGACTTTCAGATATTTCTGTGGTACTAAAACATTCCCAACTTGAGATCAAGTGTAGAAACTATAATGCCACTCTGCAACATCTACTTAGTTGAATTGTTCTGGTGTGTGAAGATCTATTGAAGAGACTTAATTCCGTGTTGGAAGGCATGATGGCGAATGAACTTATGGATTTGACCTAATTCAGACTAGAGGGATTAGTAAGAAGAAGATAAGTGTATTTTTAGCTCTCTCTATATGAAAGGCTATATCGACAAAAAAATTCCATTGTACTGTGATTCAAGAATACGTTTCAAGGTTTGTATTAAATTCACGATGTTCTGAGTTCTGGAACAAATTGTGAAAATGCGCTTCTAGTTCAGTTTATCAGAGTACTATGATTTCCAGTTTCATATATTTTCGTTTGCAGGTGATTTTTGCGTTGATATGACTTGACAGGATATACTCCCACTACAGTTGCAAATGTTCTACCATTAAGCATCATGAACTTCCCAAGACTATTTTATTATGATAGTGATGTAATTTTTGTGAACAATATTACACATGTCTTTTTCACAGCTTGTGACTTATTTTGTTTAAATTTCAGGTACAAGTGAGAAGAAGAAGTATCTTTGGAATCAAGAGTATTTTCTTAATTATTGATTATTAATAATTTAGAATTCTGAGTGCTGAATAAAATGTACCTAAATTACAGGTCATCATTAAAAAGCTGCTTCAAAGGTTATGAACTTTATTCTTAATCATAACATGTTCTTTGCTAAAAGAAGTAACATTAAAATTAATTTTTAAACACAAATTCATATAATATTTCATTATAGTTTTATAATTTAAAAAATGTTTGAATTTAAATACAAAATTTAAGTTTAAAGTAATTTGAAAAGCTTGTGCAAAAGGAATTAGTCGATCATGTTTCAGAAATAAGTACACAAATAAATTTGTTGATCACAATTAAATTATTGGCAGAACAATCTCCTAAAGAACTTCAGTTGATTATTTTAAAAGATACTGGAGATTTTAAAGAATAGCAAATCTTTTTTCCTGATTACCATTGTAAGAGATACATTTATTTTAATAAGCTGGTCAATTTATTGAGTTGTCTGTTAGTTTAATAATATTAAAAGCTCAATGGAATAATATAATAAGACTGAAAGCTTGCTTCGACATTCGAAAATGAAATAGCTTTAAAAAAGCACAGAAGATAATAGTTTCGACATTATTAAACGCAATGATTATTAACACCTTTTTAATTATGCATTTTCTTTGGAACTAATTTATCATCATTTATTTTAACTTTTACTTCAGACTTTGTTTTTAAAAAGCTTATGAAATGAATGTAACACAGAGATAAACTGAAGTCATAAACGAAGCTTATGTATGCTGAGCTTTATCGTAGAATGACGCATAGTATGTTTAAAACACCGAATACTTTCGTTTTTTAGTGGACACTAAATCTCGATCTTTTTTGTCTGCATTACAATTATTCATTATCATATTGTCTGCATTACAAAGTTTGAAATCCGATATTCTATAGAATGCCGTAGGCAATTTCAGGCAAAGTACGAACCTCATAATATTGCACACATTTCCTACGCTTTCTATACAGGCTAAATGAAAAACCTGGCAAATTTTCAAATGAAGCGCCGATTTTTAACTTTGCTTTGTCATAATCGTTGTTTTGTAAAATTTTCATTTTCATTTACATATTTTAAATAAAATATTTTTAATGACACTCTATTATTATTTTTTAAAATAACATTTGTATTTCTACAGAATGCAACTCTTTTAACTAAATGCGTTATTATGACATTTTTCATATTATTCCTAAATAGTTCTTATCATTCAATAGAATGCCTAGGTATTGCACGCAATGCCTAAGGAGAGTGTATAATATATTCAAATAATTCTCATACTTCATAATTAGCTTAAACATATTTAGACGTTCTACAGAATGCCCGAGTTACATATATTGCAGGTAATAGTTTACATACATTAAACTGCTGAGAAACATGAGTATTAAGTTTATATTTATTAAATAATGAGACAAATTATTATAACGTATTTTTCGTAAAATATAAATTAAAATTGATTCATAAACAGTAATCTTTATTTTATAAGCAATTTAGCAATCTGCTGGGAGCATGCAATCTTTCCTCCTCCTAATAAAGCTCTTACTTTTTCTCCGTAAGGAATATTTTGCATCTTCTTTCTTCAAATCCAGTTCTGAATCTGTTCACTCAAAAACAATTACTAGAGCTCGAGAATGTTAGTGCGCGTACATGTCAATACCATCTGGAATGTAATGATAGCAGAATCGGCTCGTCATTCAATACAGAATTTTTGACATCTATCTTTAAAATTTTTAAATGAAAAAAATAAAAAGTAAAATAAAAAAAATTGAAAGCTTTCAGATTTTACATTACTCTCAAAGAGATTTTTAACGTTTTGTGTATTACCTTTATTTATTAAATATCATGTTTATCGCACTTAAATTACATAAAATTCAATTCAAGAGCAATATAACAAAATATTTAAAAACAGCATATCTTTAGAATTTATGATAGATAGTCTCGCGTACTGAAGACAAGAATGCTTTTATCCGTGCAGTGCTGTTCTTGCTAGCTTTGAAATCTTTGAGTTTGAAGGTATCCGAACACGTTGAAAAGGCAAATTTTGGCAAAAAATGACAATTTTATTTTAGTAGTTCATTGGAGAGATTGTTTATTTAGCTTTCCAAAATTGGTCTGCTTTTGTTTCTACGTTAATTAGAAATCGAAATATTAAGGATTTCATTAAGACGCAAAAACCGGAAATGGGCATTTAAATCACCGAAAGTGCGCATTCAAAGAGTTAAAAAGAGTTAGAAATGGACATAAATAATTTGTTATCTTTGAAATGTAATGGAAAGACTTTTAAAGACAGGGAATTAATAGAATCTTATCTGTAATTTGTGCACGAACATGAAATTATTTCCAATAAAATTCAATATTTTTTTAATTACCTGTTGAAAGCGTTATGTCCTCGCTAGCGTATGAGTTTGATTTCATTCGACACATTTCATACTGCAAATAGAGTTATCTTAGTCTTTGATTATTTTTAATAACATTCGAGTTAGAAGTATAATAAAGGGTGATAAAAAATCGAAGTCGTGTTTGTAAACGGAAATGCATACGAAACGTGTTGCGAAGGAAATAGAGAATAAATAAAGCAATTCCCATCGAGCGAACTAAAATTAAAATGCTTCTTATCGGCAGGGGATGTTTTTGAAAGTGATTTGTGACGTAAAAGATATTTATATTTAAGTAGTGTCACCAAATATGAACGAGGAAGTCATATTCAGAAGCCTCATTCCAGAGTTAGAAAATTGAAGGGAAAATAAAAGTATCTTGATGGAGGGGTTAACGTCGCTCACTAATGATGTCTTAATTGACAAACTTCAAAATGGAATTAGAATCAGGAACAATGATTTGAAAGTGCTGTAATTGCTACATTGTTTTCACACTTTCTCTAGTGCAAATCTACCTATAGATGGTCAGTGCCCACATGGACCAGACATTTTTATAAAAAATAAGCCTGTTTGGGGCTTCTATAATTAATATTTCGTTTCTCCACGTTGTTTTCGCCGTTTTGCGTTTGTATGTGTTTCGGAGTCGAAAACGGCTTAATTTTCGCAATTTTTTGAGTTCTGTTTGTGTTTTGAATATTTTTATATTGTGCTTTGCTTGTCTGATTTCATGCTTTTTGGTTGCAAACGTTTGGTTTTCTATTCGTTTCAGTGTGGGACTTTTCCGCTGTTTTGTGCGTGCTTTATTATTGGTTAGTTAATTTAGTTTGATTTTCTGCATTGTTTATCATGTCTTCATCCGTTAATCGTTTCACTAAATTACGCCTGAAACGGCAAACATTCCTGAATCATCTTGACTTTAAATCATATCTAATCAAAAACCTTCCAGTCGCGTTTCAAGAATTCTGTTAAACTGCAAGATAGCCTTACTTCGGTCCATCATAAGGGATACACGTCAACAATTGTCCAAAATTGAGCATGAGTTCTATAAACTTCATCTGGAACTCGCTAATTCATATCCAAAATGCACTGCCCTTAAACAAAAGTCTTGGTCTAGAACGGAGAATGCAGTTAACCGTTATAAAAACACCCTTGCAGTTAAATTCGAAAAACTTCTTTTACAGTCTTCCAGTTAAAGTAGTTCAAAAAATCTTTCCATTGTAAACATTAAGCCAATAGTTAATATTTCTAATGTTAGTTTATCAGAAGAACAAGATAGAATTCTAAAATATAATTTTAACTTCTCACAAACCTCTAAATCCTCGATTCCAAAGATTTTGGCTCCTATCGAAAAAGCTTTCAAGTTCAGTAAAGTTTCAGATTCACAGAAAGAAATGATTAGCCATCTTATCACTCATAATGTGGAATTCAATAATAAATCTTTTAAACCAAATCAAACTGCAAGAGAAAGAGTTACAATGCGCGAAATTCATTCAAACACAAAATATTATCATTTCAAAGGCCGACAAAGGTGGCCAGATAGTCGTCATGGATAAGAACACTTACATCGATGGTGTCACTAAACTCTTAAACGCAGGATCATATAATCCGATCCCTAAAGATCCTTCACCTTCCGACCTGTCAAAAATAAAACTGCGATCAAATCTCTACAAATCATTTCAAGCAACTTAAAACATTCACTTAACCCATCTGTTGCGAATTGTGCCAGATTATATGCTCTTCCCAAAATTCATAAAAGTGTTATTCCTTTCCGCCCTATTGTATCAAATTTAGGTACTGCCTCGTATCCGTTAGCAAAATATTTAGTTTCTAGATTTTCAACTCTATTAGACAATAGCATTTACACCATAAAATTCCAATAGAGTTTTTAAAAAAGGTTAAAAAATTTCTCCTAGAAATTTACTCATGGTTTCTTCTGATGTAAAATCATTATTCACCAATGTTCCAGTGGAGGGTGCATTAAGATGTCTAGAAACCAGACTTCGCGAATTTCATTTCTCTTGCATCGAAATTGATGAGCTAGTTTCTCTCACTCAACTCTGAAACAAACGCATTTGTTTTCCAAAATAAATATTACAAGCAAACTGAGGGATTAGCCACGGGAAGTCCCCTCAGTCCCATCCTGGCATGCATTATTATGAATCAAAATTGTTTGAAACTTTAAACTTCCCGGTATGGTTCCGCTACGTAGACGATACGTTTACCCTGTTTGAAGGTAATAAAGATGATTTAAATAAAGTTCTTTCAGCAATGAATTCTATTGATCCTGCTATTTAGTTCACTTTTGAACTTGAGAGTTGCAATTCTCTTCCGTTTCTCGACATTCTGGTCACACGTAACATATCCAATTTTAGTACCCTACGGTTTACCGTAAACCTTCATCAGTTTGCCTTCCACCACACTTTAAATCATGTCATCCGACTAAGCAAAAGTTAGCTTCATTTTATTCCTATGTTTTGCGGGCTCTTCAAGTTTGCTCCTCCAAACTATTCCTTGATGAAGAACTAAATTATTTAAAAGCAATAGCTATTGACAGGGGCTTTTCACCCAACATTATTAATCAAACAGTTAAAAAATTCCCATCTCAACACACTAAAAGACACACTCTTGTTTTAGGAGGTTATAAAAATTCTGTTGTCATTCCCTTCTTTCCATCAATTAGCTATAAAGTTGCACATATTTTGCAGAAATTTAACTTTCGGGTCGTTTATTCTCCCATCAATAAAATTGCGAGTTCCATACTCAAGGACCCCATTCCGGATATGAATTCCTGGGGTATTTATCCTTGCCAGTGTGGTTTAATTTACATTGCCAAACTAAGAGAGCCTTAAAATTTCGCGTCAAGGAACATGAGGCATATGTTAAAAAAAAAGGAAACGCAGAAGTCTTCTGTTGCCCAACATTGTTGGCCCGAAAATCACACTTTCAATTTTTCTGCTGCCAAAATTATTCAAAAAACACCTTCCATTGGAGAACCTGATTTTCTGGAGGCATTTCACATTCAAAAAAATCTTTCTGTTCTAGTTAACGATCCTAATTCCAATCCATCTTTGCCTTCGACCTTTAAAGAAATTATGTTTTAGTTCTGGTTTCATCAACAGATGGCGCCACTAGCTTATCTCCTGTCCAGGCTTTCTTATTTATCATATCTTGTTCATTTGCGCATTTGCAGTTGAGGATGATGGTTCGGTAAAACCATCGAAACTAGTCCTGTGAAAATTTGAAAACGCTGAGTTTTGTTGTTTGACTTCTGAATTAGTGCTTAACAGTTTATTAACACCTTTCTTTCTCACATAAGTAACGAATTTCATAAAAAAATTTAAATATTCAAATAACTGTAGATCCAGTTATACATGTGCATTCTGTATTATCAAATAACGAATAATTTGTAGGTATGTATGTTTTTAGGATAGTGGGAAAATGACGAGACATAGAACTACCAAACTTAGCGTACAGATGGTACTCCATCTGAGCCTGTGATACTCGGAAACTGAATTTTGAATTTCGAATTTGTTTTGCGCTTTTTTCTTATTTTGAGCGAATTTAAAGAATTTAGTTTAATTAACTCAATATTTCAAAAGCGATGTGTTGACACAGAAAAGTGTTCCTTTTCTACATATGTATAAATGCATTAGGCATCAAATACTATATATTACTATGAACACTGACGTATTCAAAAGCAGATATTACTCCTATCTTTGGCCGGGGTCTATCATTTATAAATGTTTCGAACACCCGTTTGTGTAAAAGAATTCTACATTAAAAATCTTTTGGTACGGATATACCATTCATTAAAATGAATCATATTTAATAAATTGGCAGTTTTATAATTTTTTTTTTCAAACACAAAATTCCAGAAATGATGTGAAAAATGAAGAATTGAGCGTTTTTTAAAATGCTTAAAAATGAATGAAGAAGAAAATAAAGAACATAGAATAGCATTCACAAATATTTTAGTTGTTTAAAAATGGTAGAAAAAAATTTGTTAAGCACTTCCCTTTCTGTTGTACGGTTTTAAGTGGTATTTCAATTAGCGAATTTTATAAAAATAATTTTTAAGTTAAGTATTCAAATAACTGTGTTTTCAGTTCTGCTTGCTTATTCTATAATATTAAATAACGAATGATCTATAAGTATGTATGTGCCTTGCATTACAGGAAACATAGCGGCACCCAAAGCCACCAAAATTTTGAATACAGATAGTTCTTTCCTATTTCGGGCGATTTTATAGAATTTCTGTTTGATTAACTCACTACTTTAAAAGCGATGTGTTGGTATTTGGAAAAGAGCTATATATACATGTTAAAAGTCAGCGATTTAAAAGAAATGTGTTGCCTTTCCGCAAAGAGGAAAGTATTTATTCAGCATTCAACTTTAATCAGCAAATAATCTAGATAATACTAGATAGTATTATCTATCTAGTATTTCTAATCTTGTGTAATAAATGAAACACAAATCCAATATAAAACAGCTGATATCAAATATTCACCAGTAATAGTATTATTAAATATTTCATATTTATTTGATACGAGGTATTTTTGTTGAAATTTATTAGCTAATGTTTCTAATGCAACTCCATAAATTTTCGCAATAATTAATTTCTTTTCAATTTCAATATGAAAAGGAATTTCGTACCTATGAGGCTTATATATTTGAAAAATATTACTTTTAAATTTTTCGTTCGCGTCTCCCAAAAAAGTGCTTCTCCATCACTCTTTTAGAGAATTTTCATGTAAATATTTTAAATAATAATTCATTCCTCTCTAATTTTAGGAAGTTATCAGAAAATTACCGTTGCTTGAAATGAATTTTGTAAAAAAAGACGATATCGTAGATAAAAACGCGTAACTGTTATTGGAGACGCTAAGGCAAAAAGAATCAACGGTAATTTTCATAGATTTATAATACTACTTTGGAATGTTTGGATATAAAAGCTTTTCCTTCAGCTGCGGGAGAGAAAATGACGAAGTTCAAGACTAGGTTTACGCGATACTAATAAGAACAATATTAGAAAATTGAAAGCGTTCTATCAAAAAAGAAATTACTGATGCCATCGGAACAAAAAAAAATTAAAATAACTCTGAGGTAATTTTCTCAAAAGATGTAGATAAGGAGTAGGTTTGTGATTTGGAGCATTAATCAAAACAGAATCTTTTTACGAACTGCTGCGTAAAATGGATATAAACTCTTGAGGTATATTTAGCATTGCTTGTGTATTACTTATTAGTGTGGTTTAATATACATTCGTGAAACTAAGAGAGCTTTGAAATTTCGCTCTGAAGAATATGAAGCATATGTTAGGAAAATGAAGCGCATAAATCCCCTGTTGCCCTATACTAGTGTTAAGAAATTAACAATTTCCATTTTTTGGCAGCGAAACTTATTCAAAAGGCATCTTTCGTTGATGAATTTGATTTTATAGAGGAGTTACTCATTCACAAATTTTTTTTTGAATTCTGGTTAATGATCTCAGTTCCAATTCAACCTTACCCTCAGCTTTAAAGGAAATTATTTCACAGTTATTTTGACTTTTGTCGGTAGATGGCACCAGTATAATTAATTTTATTGATAGAAATTTCTCGAATTTTATAATATATTGTTTTCTTTGAAAGTAGCGCTACAAATTACATTGAAATATACAAATATACAAATTTCGTTGAAAGTAGCGCTACAAACTCTCAGCGGATTCTTGTTGCCTTAGCATATCCAATAATAGTTATTATGAGTATTATTTTTGCTCCAAATGTAGCTGTTTATTTGTTTAATTGAATAACGTCATAGATCACTAAACGTATCTGTATAAAGAGAAGGGCATCTTGTAGAGACATTAGTTATTTCGAAGCAAGGAGGATGAAAAATGAGCAACGCCCTCGCCGGGAATCGAACCATGGGCCTCTGGAATACGCGCCCAGCGTGCTGACCACTACACTACGAAGACATGCTAAGAAGACGGGAGAAATACCTTATAATCTAATTGAAGGACGTTCTAAGAGAAATGACTTGTATTTACTTTACACGAAGAAAACCTGGAATATAGTCTTGGTGGCAAGTCGTGCGCTGTTATTTAAATAGATATTGAGATATCAATATTCACCAATCGTATCCATTCAGCCATTGTCGTGTCCGTACATAAAAATTTACTTATATTTTATCCATTTTTAATTAGTGATGTAAAGATATATCGAAGCAGTTATTAATTAAGTTCAATAAATGCAAACCCCATTTAAGGAACTAAATAAATTATGAACATTGTATAGATTAAGCACGTCATATTCAGTATCTGAAGGAGGATAAATACATAGTAATCAGTGTACAATAGTGCAGGCCGCAAGAAGAAGAACATTCAACTAAGTAAATACATCATTCTTTATTCTTACCTAATACTGTAGTTCTTTAAAGAAGTTGGAAAATATAAAAGATGTATGTATTATTTAACACAAAATAGCATATGTGTTCTTCAACCACCTTTAGGATAACTCCAGACATGCTTGTCGAACGAATGACTTTCAGAACAGCTGATCAGATGAATGAGTATCTGCAAACCTGGACTTGACTGAGGATTTGTTTCTTTCATTAATTAGGAGCGATGTTCACACTGATATGTGCTGCCTAGCATGGAATTTGTGTACGATGCAAATTTGTTGCTTTCTGACATACCCGAAAATTGTATTGATATATAGGCCTGATTTTATACAGGCTTCGATATTTGGTGAAATTCCAACTTTTGCTAGTATATTATAAGATATTTGATTTTGTTTATTTTCCGGAGTGAATCGAGATTTGCATGAAAATAATTTTTCTTGGGCAGCATAAGGCACTTATGCTGCCCAAGAATTTGCTATGCTCGATGTAGAATAAAAATATTATGAACTCGTGTAGAAGTTCTGAACTGCAGATATTTAAATTTATTAAGAATCCTGAATTGAATGAAGAAAATGTGAGATGCTAGTGGATCTAAATTATATTTCTCAATAATCTTCGCAACTGTGAAACAAACGATATTCTGAGTATTACTGGTTTGAATTTTCTATACTTTTGAGAATTTACATGTACTAATTACATAATATTCATAATAAACTAATCGAATCTTTTGATCAGGAATGTAATACCATTTTAGCACTAAAAAACTCTCGAGATTCTTTCAAAGTTTTTATTGATAGCTTTCTTGACATCTCATTTAACAAAACGAAGCTTGACATACAGATACAGTAAAGAATCAATCATTTTCTTCTTTCTTGGAAAATTGTACAGATGCATGTAGTATCTTACCAAGGCCGAGTGGAAGTAAAGCAACTAACTGAAATTGAAAGCAGTGGAAAATCAAGATATACGACGCAGATATATTTAAAGAAGTAAAACACCAAGATATAAGTCTATTACTGTGTTCTTCATTCTAAATGAGATCAGAGAAATAATTTTTGTAACTTCGCTTTGCGGAAAATTTTGCGTACTAATCAAAAGGCTTCCACTGAGACAAAATTAAATTTGCATTTCCCCGTTAACAAAGCAGCTGGTGCAACTGGGATATACGCTTGTTACGTGTTAACAGTTCTAATCGAGATTTCATTATTGCAGTCGTGTCCCCAGTGACTGCTTTTGTATATTGTTCCAACTACAGTCACGAGGGAAAATTATTCGTTTAAAGGAGATAAGTTACCTCGCTAAGAAGAAACATAGTTTCAGGGCTGAGAATAAAGCTGCACGATAAATCGTACATTAACAATAAGCGTGCCTATAATAATAATATAACTAACCATGGTATATTTGCAATAGATATGCACACAACTAGATATGATACATTAATAATGAGTATACAAATGTTATGCAAGAGTAATATAAATACGACGTATGAAATGTACACTTAGAATAAGAAATAAAAGAAGATGCATTATGTAAAATAATAAATCATGGCATTGCAAAATAATTTAATAAACAGTACAGGATAAATAAAATGCACAGTATAAGTGAACTGGGAGATGGAATAATGTGTTACAACTGATGAGAGAGATCATAGGCTTGTGCAGACTAGTCATTGACTATTCTTGAAGTTTCTTAGAGTTCGAGAGTAATACATTTGTACATTTCTGAATATGAGTGATTGCAAATTTAATTGTTCAAAATATTATTGATCCATCGTTGGCAGTTTCGAGGAGACGGATGCCACTTGTTTCCGGGAAGAACCGTGCCTTATATGCACTGTGCACTCTCACAGAGGCTGAATAATGCTCAACCTCCGGAACTCAAGCATGGGACTGAAGAAGCTCATGTATTGATAGTGACTCGCAAGAAAAGTTACAGGGAAAGTTTAATCAAAATTATATTTTAGCAGTAGTAGCTTTATCAAAATTAATCAAAATTATATTTTAGCAGTAGTAGCTGGAAATTTAGCAGTAGTAGCTTACTGAAATAATTTTGTGCTTCAAAAGGCGCCATATTGGAAAAGTGATATTTTAAAAGTTCACAATTTCTTCTATCTTACCTTGAAGTAATCATAAGAACATTGATTTCAAAATTGAGTACACCGTGTCCATAAAAGTGTGGGTTTGGGAGTTATATTTTCGCAACCATTAACCGTATATACACATATATTTCCAGTTGTATGGTGGTAAGTTGAATAATTATAATTATTAAAAGGTTTACCTTGATTATTCACTAAATTATAGATTCATAGCTACCTAGAAACACTTTGAAACAAATAAATAAGAACACAAAGTAAATAAGATTTAGGATTTTATATGCATTAGTAGAATTTTTTACATGGTAACAGTTTTATGGAATACTTAATTCTTGTATCGTTCGGTTTTTATATCTGTTGTCACAAAAACAAAATTAAAAACGCATACCAGGAAAACCTCAGGAAGAGAACAGCGCCACCTATACAGAAGAACAAAATAAGGCATGAAAACATTTTGAAACTTAACATATCTCCTCTCCCGGCTAAACTCTTAAGATCAGGAAGACTAGAATTTGAACAGAATTTAGAAAGTGGATGACGATAAATTCTAGTCGATGTTTTTACTTCAACAAGCCGAACGACTCCGTCTTTTCCTGGGAAAACTTCTATAATTCTTCCAAGATTCCATTTCAAAGGAGGGAGGGAATACTCCTTGAGATACACCCCAAGTCATTAAGATGAATATTCCTTGCACGCAGTGTCTACGTTTCTCGTAATTGACGTTGAGTCAAATATTATCTTTGCCATCTTAACCAAAACTGATTACGGGGTTGCTGAATAAGATGCCATCTTGACTTTAAGCAAAGGGATCTTTTTTGGTTTTTCTCAGGCTATAATGTTATAGGGACACTTATTAAAATATCCTGGAGTAAGAGGTTCTAGGTCCCGAGGATCTGAGGAGAGAGGAGTCACTGTTATGGAACTAAGACATGCTTCCATCTATATTACTAGAGTATAAGTTCCTCAAAAGTTAGCATAGCTCACTTGCAAATTTTGAATAAATGTTGCTTTGCAGACTTGATTCCAGCCTGCCATAATCCTCCAAAATGAGGATCTAAAAGTAGGATAAAATACCGTACAATGTATTCTTAAGTTGCAAAATCAAAAATTTCAGCGGAATTGAGAAACACTGATTTCTCTTTCGTATAGGTTGCTGATCCTGAAAAATTCGTTGCGTTATCTGAATACAAATCTATTGTTTTTCCATATCTGGAGATAAACAGCCTTAAATACACTAGAAAGGCATTTATTGATAAATCTAAAACAAACTCGAAGTGAATTGCTTTAGTGACAAAACAAACAAAATGGACAATGCATGTTTAAATTCTTAATCTACTGCTTGTCAGATTAGGTTTTCTTATAAACGATCCACCAATAGAAAAATGCAAGTCAACTTTGAGAAATGATCTACTGACAGTAAACCTACTAGAAGGCAAGATCGTTCTTCATGCGGAGCAGAAAAACGTTTATCAAATGGTTTGCTGCTTTGTTTCTGGCCAACGGATAGTATTTATCCGTTCTTGCCAGATCCTGGCCTGACATGTGAACAGACCATAAATTGTTTATCTCCACTGAGATGGAATTAAGAGAAATACACGTCTGAAATGTTTCAGACTTTAACTTCCGCCCAAAAGGATTTATTAAGGATTTTTAGTCTTTTCCGAAGCTAGCAGTTTACCATTCTGCTGTTGCACTCATTCTAACTTATGTTTTTTTTTTCTTTTTACTTCCTAGTACGAAGTAAAAAGGAAATATTGTAATCGCAAAAAATTTCGGGTATCATATTCCAAATGGCAAACCAAATGGAATTGCATCGCGTTTAATGCAAATGAGTAAGAGTGGTATTAGTAATTCAGGTCCTTTGAAGCTGGAAAATATGCTTCTTAGCGAAGGTTTCTATTAGATATCAAGAAAATTAATATTTCAAATGTTTTGAGCCGAAATATTAGAAGATTTTATATGAGGATTCGAAAGACTGGAATGGTTAAGGAGGGAGGAAGATTTTTTTTAATCGATTTTCGAGCTGGTGTAGGAATTTATTGTAACCATTTTGCATTCTATAAAGCAGTGGGAAGAGATACTACCAGTTTTGATGGTGAAGTTGAGGATGTATTTATTTCTCTGAATGAGTTAAGCGCTCGGAAGAGTAATTTCCCTCGAGCTGTTATTTTGTCCGATAACACAATCGCTTTGCAGTCTATGTCCAACAATAAATTTTGCACTCTCGAACGAATTTACGAATGTAAGAAGATTCTAAACACTCTGGCTGACTCAATTGTCTTTCAGTGCCTTCCTTCTCATTATGGTATCAAGGGAAATGAAAGAGCCGATTTCCAGGCAAAGAAAGAAACAACTATTCTACAAACCACTAATTACCATATGGCATTTGATTCTGCAAAACTCATAATTAAATTTTAATGTAAGAGGAGATTTTCCTCCTGCCTATCAATTGAGGCTAAGGGAAAGACCTGGGAGAGTCTCACTAGGTTCAAAGCCTGTTTTTCCTCGTCCGGTAGCAGTGGCGTAATTCGCCATTTGACTGGGCACGATTGTCTGAATTCACATCTTTTAAAATTCGACTTAAAGACACTTCAGTTTTTGTAACTCTGGACAGTCCATGGATAAGGAGCATACTGACGAACGCACTGAAATATTACCTCTTACTTCTATTGTTTTTAAGTATTGGAAAGCAAGATCAAGACTTTGTGGCCAAATATCTGGCATTTGTATAGGTAGCTAAAAATATATAGTGTTATATCTTTCTTTTTGTAATTATAAAAACAAGTATTCAAAAAATGTAAATGTATGTTTAAACATACTTTAAAGGCAATCCTCTGGGTTGTCCATACACATGGAGAGATTAGGCATAATGCAGCCCTGGAAGGGAAAAACAGATAGTTTATCATACTACAAACTACGTTTATAGAAAACAGTATGTTATTTTAAATTGATTATACAATAAAATATTTTTTCAAAACATATTAATCAATATTGTTCTTCTGGTTTTTGAATGCGAAAAAACTATTTTCATACTCATCTGCAATCTCGTTCAAGGACAGTCATTCAAAGGAAGCAAACTTAGATGAGTCGAAATCCCATTAGCGGCAGTCATGGGATTAAAGTAGTCATGTAATTCAGAGAATTGCCCTGGGAGTGCATTGCGCTCCTACACTCTATAACAAAAAATAGACACACCAAGAAGGAATAATCTGATTGCTTTGAAATTTCATATTCATAAATGCTTTGACCAAATATGAAAATGATTAAAATTTGGTGTCCGATGAATGAAAAGTTCGATCTTCAGCGCATAGGAACTGAGCATCCAGCAGATGTATGTAAGGAGCTGTTCTTGAACTGTTGTTAAAAATTTATGTTGCATTAAGATTTAGGATACCTTTCAACGACTGAAAAAATGCCCTGCCGCAGGTTTCGAGCTCATCACGAGCAACTGTCAGAGTTTGAAAGAGGTCATATCATTGTACTGAAAGAGGCAGGTTGGGCAAATTCGAGAATCGCTCATCATATCAGTCGAAGCGATGGGACGATTAGAAGATGCTGGCAAGAATGGGTGGGCAGTGACAGATTTCAGGGCCATGATGGTAGCGGTCGATATAAGGATACAACAGATCTGGAAGACAGAGTGATTGTCCGATCAGCTGTCACAGTGCCTGATTCATTGTTGTCAACCATCAGACTTGCGACCCGCGCACGTGTGTCCACCATGACCATTCACAGACGACAGATAGAGCGAAATATACACTCGTACCGACCGTTACGCCATCTGTCACTCACGTCTGCACACTGCCAAGCCAGATTACAGTGGTGCTTGGCTCGATCATGTTGGAATAATGCTGACTGTGGACGTATAGTCTTTAGCGATGAATCCCACTTCCAACCGTGTCGTGAAGATCATCTAAGATGATCTGGGCACTCGTCCAACGATTTTTTTCAGCTGATGTTTCGGAATTTTCGAATGTTTAGAAAAATCATTTCTTCAAAAACAATAATTTCTTGTTTTTATTTGAATACTTATTTGCCTTACTGAGCGGAACTTTCACGGCCTTAGCATCAGCGCTTCCGTTTTTGCTGATATTCTGCATCGTAGTCTTATTACCATTCACTTCACTGTTCCAGGAAAAATGAGAAATCTATAAACTAGTGACGAAAAGGTTCTGAATAAGAAGTAACCAGAAGTATACGAGGTTGTTCATTTTCTGGCAGCTTACTTCTTAAGAAAAAGTAAACGTTTTGAACAAAAATTCAGAAATGTCGGGCTTTTTAAAAATTCTGGGAAAAGAAGAAAGTTGGGAACATTGTTGCACAAGAGAAGAGTTCTTAATTTTATTATCAATATACAACCAATTAAATGCTGATTAATACAAAAATGTGTGGTTATAAAAAATGTTTTCAAAAGTTTCAAGTTTGTTACATATATGTATTTCGGTTTATTTAACTGTATAATTTTCGTAGTGAAATACACTTCTCTAAAACGGAATAAATTGGGTTACAAAAAAGCAGGGAAGGAGCCGAAATAAGTGTTGTTTACTAATTTCTCAATAATGTTTTAATTGGTTCTGGAAGCTTAATAGGCTTACATAAAAGTTTTCAGTCTCATCGTTAAGTAAAAATGCGTCAAACTTCTTTAAGCATCTTCTTTAAGGGAAGAAATATAGTAAGGGGGACTGAACTTCATGCCAATTAGAGTCGCCCTTTGGAATTCAGGAAAGTTCAAAAACAGCAAGTAGTTTCTACAACAAAAAGCTAAACGTCACATTTACATCATGTTTCAAATGAAAACAAACGTCCGACTTCAAATATTTAATCATTCAATAACTGTTGTCTTTTATCATATGATGATGTGTCGAAGACAACGAAACGTTTTCTTCTGTTTTCTCTAATAAATGCTAGATGGGATGAGAAGTACCACTTTTCAGTATTTCTACCTAAATGTTGATGTAATAAAGCTTTGTAATGCTTACAGAAATCCGGATTCTTTTTAAATCTTCTTCACAGTGAGTCAGAATTATCCAGTAATTCCCCTGCATTTCAGGGCAAGCAATTAGTATATATGTTGTACACAAAAGTTATGGATTCACAAAATTTTCTAAAGGTAGCATCGTATTCTAAACTATAACTACTATCACATTTAATAGAAATTCGCATAGCTTTCAAATGTTTTAAATTTCTCATGAATTCGGATGTGGAATCAACTTCTAAATTATTTTTAACTCTTATCAAATTTTGTATGATATTAAATATTTTTGATGCAGTACTTTCGTTTCATGTTCATGTCACTCACCTCCCCAATTTAGTTTATCCAGGGGTTCTCAACCAGTGGTACGCGTACCACTGGTGTTACGCAAGAGAAAAATAGGTGGTACGCGATTGAGATTTTTTTCTCCAACACTCGTAAATTTATGCGATCTGAAAGCTTTGTTCAAGAGTGGTGGTGGTAGTAGTACTTTGTAGTGCTGGTACTAAAGGTTTTCAATTTTTGTTTAGATGGTACGCATTAGTCAAAAGGTTCAGAACCGTTGGTTTATACCGCTGCTAAGTTTTCAGAAACTTGGTAGACTGTTCCTGTAAAACATCAACAAGCATTCAATTCATCCACTCGTTAAGCATCCCCGAGCAAATTTAAGATTTTCTTCATAAAATTGTTTGATAGAATGAATACAATGTTTTATTTTTATTTTATTTTTTATGTTTGTGAATAAAATTATTAAGTGTTTTAACTAACAAGAAATGAAATAGAATGATTATGTTCGGGCATTGATCAGCATAAGTTTACTAATAACACTTTAGTTTAGCATATTTCATACATATGTTGTCTTTGCATAACAGTTGCTCCACTCACCTGCAAGAGCCGTGTTGTAGCCGCCACTGCGATATATGTTACTTAAACATGAATAAGAAAATAATATGCGTACTTGTATAATTTCATAAGTAATTCTTTTAAACTAGAGTGAGGAAGAAAAATTCTCCGTTTTAGTCAGTAACTCCGTAATAGTCTGTATAATGAGGAAGAAATTTTCGATGTATTAGTTTTTAATTTGTCACAGACGCACATTTCATTTTATTTTAACAATTTAAATATGAAACAAAAAATAAATAGATAAATAAAAGAGTCGTTTTGTAATACTGAATAAAATTCATTTTAAGAGACATGGCATACGATACATCAAAGAGGTATAATTTTGCACTTGGTTTGGATGATTGAACCACGATATGATGTTAAATTCAGACTCTACTTCTAAGTATACTTACTCTGCTTGATTCTATTGCATTGGATTCACGTGTTGTCATTGGATGTTTGCCCAATTCATCCTGAAAGAGAGAGCAAATAGGTAAATGTCACGTAATTTTACAAAATTCAGCATTAATTTCTACTTGCTGTATGGAGTTATTTGATGAGATTGTTTTACGAAATTCTTTCACCGTGAAAGATGATTTCATTTTTAAACATATGCTGCCCTTTAGACGAAATAACTGCGTTTGGTTAAACTTCTTGCAGATCTTCCTGCAATCTTAAAGAAAACTTTGATCAGGCTATGTGGTTCCAGCTATCGGATGAAGCTTTCTCTAATCGCTTCTCACTAGCTTAAAGCACTATAACACGGATGAAAGTGATTCCACAGAGCATGTGACATTTGGAAATGACATCACAGGATGTACAATCATACTGAATGACATGTGAAGGGAAGTTTCCTTTTTTCTGTAGTTTAGTGTTAATTCGCATATCTTCTGATTCCGAAAAAGAACACGAAAGCCAAAGCGACTTCTCCATGATATAATAAATACTACGCATGCGCACTTTAGCCGAACGGCGCGCTCTTTCGTAAAAGGCCATTCTGACTGGATGATTTTTATCACAGTGTTTACTGCTCTTTCAATCTCTTCATATAAAATCTCATCATCAGCTTCATAGAGGTTGCCTTGATTTTGATACAAAATCTCAAAACATAAGCAGTCATGCGAAGAATTTTTTTGTAGCTTGAAAAGTACAGAAATCTTTCGCTAAATTTTCTTTCTTTCTCAGCAACTAAATGTGTGACAACTGTTTCGCGTCTCTCCAGAAGGTGCTTCTTCTGGAACAGATAGTTCCGATATTGTCCAAGACAATACAACTAGGTTTGTCTCTCTCACCTTTGAATTTGTCAGACCAGTTGCAAGTTCTGGTAGGTCAGTCTGCTGAGTTGATACCTCCAGAAACGTGTCTCCAATCATCTATATTGGTCAGTTTCCTGATTTCTTTCATTTGATTTCCAATAAAGGTGTTTCATAGTTCTTTGTTCATAATCCATGTCAAGACGATCATCGAGTGTGCCCAAAGGAAAATTCAAAACGTCTAGTATTGTTGAACCATTTCTAGCTCCCATGACAGCTTCTAAAAGTTCCAGTCGTGCAAATGTCAGTCTCTTAGCAGGAGCTATTCTAGCTTTTCCCAAAATCATTGAAATTTCCACTTCTTCCCCTTTTCTACAGCGTAGAAATGCACAGAAGTATATGATGAAACATCAGTAAATATGTGTAAGCTGGCCATTTCCCGAAAGTTCCATGCAATATCCTTTGAGGGATTTTATATTTCTGAGCAAGATCTAGATGTTTAGCCTATCTACGATAACGTAATTGCAAATCGGAGGGCAACTCTTCGTCCCAGTCTAACTTATTTGGCCAGGCTTTTTGGAGTAGTAACTTAACCAATAGTGTCGCAGGTGATGTAAAGCCTATGGTATGTAGGAACTGTATTGCACCAAATGGCGCTGTGTGCGCCTGAATTCTTTTGAGTAGTTTAGAACATTGCTGACTATGAGAGATGTAAAACGAAACTACATTAAGTTGCGAAAGTCAAACTAAACTTATATGTGTTTCTTTATTGTAAATGTATTTATTTGTGTCGTCAATAAACTTTGGATAAAATGACAGAATGTGAGAATCAATGTTGCATATGTCAGATAAGCGAAATTTCTTTATCATTTAATTTGAATATTGAGTTTTAGAATAATGCAAACACGATATTAGATGCAAGTGGCGTATTTATATAGGACGACATATGCTTTCAACAACAGATAGTAACATTCTCTTCGTAATGACTTTACTAAATTTCATGTCAGCTGAGAAAAAACGTAGTAATGTTCATGGGTTTCTGTATCCCACTTAAGATCAAGTACACTTGACTTTTTGACATTGAACTCCGGTGTGAGCCCAACATTTTAGTTCAAATGTCGCTTCATTCACTACTTGCATAGCTTGATATTTCAGTTGCTCCAGTTCTTTTACGTCATTAACGCTTGCGACTAGGTTACCAAAAAACCACTCTTAATTTATCAATTGTATATTTTCTATTTGGAATTTCTGCAAACCTAAATGATATTTTATTCTGGCATTCAGAAGAAAAAGACTGGAAGTGATACCAAAAACTACTCGGTAGTGTCTGTAAATCTTAAGCTTGGTGGGTTCAGCATCTTCCCACTACAACAACCTCAATACATCTTTGTCTTCGGCCCTTAAATCTGTTTGCGGAAAAGCCTGCTTTATATCAGCAACTACTCCAAAGGGCCCTAAACGGAATCTCACCAGTAGTGGCGGTATCTGATGTATCAGACTCGGTCCAACACTGGAACACTCGTTTAAAGAAGCATATCCAAGTCGCTTGAAAGAAGCGTTGAACACTGGGCGAACATTCACAGTACTGCTGGAAGGCTTGATAACAGACCTATGAGGGAGATAATGACTAAGCTTAAACAATTGCTCCATTGGAACAACTTCTATGATGCCTCTTAATTCCCATTGTTGGAATACAGCATCGTAAGCTTCGAAGATAGTTTCGTTTAACAAACGTTTTGTTACCATGTCAAGTCGTGATTCAGCTATATCGTGCTTATCATATAGAGAAGGATGCCCAGCTAGGCAGGAAAAAGCTATTTCATAGCGTCCATCTTCACATATCCTTCCCCCGGGGGGAAATGAATTTTTTTGGAAGCTATCTTGATATTTGCAAGCGTTATTTTTGAGTCTTCCCCAGGAGTGTCTACTATGTCGTGGTTGGGGGCTTTCCCTGTTATAAGGAGCTAAATTTCACCCTACGACTTTATGCATCCCCCTGTGTGAACCCCAGGGTACCGGTGGGATGGCATATAGCGGGCAGGAAGAAATGTAAAAAGAAGAAAAACGAAAACAAGAAAAACAAGTAAAAAACAAAAAGAGGGAACCAATGTTTCAAAAGGCTTGGAGATTGCCGAAACACACATCGCTGACAACGTACTGTCCTACATTCGTAGTTGTTCTACAGAATTTGATGATACACTGGAGAATCTATCTGACAAAGTTAATAAACCAGCTGGAAATAAAATTAGAGAGATATTTAGCGAATTGCAAAATGTTCTGGTAGATGTTTTGGTTGAGAACAGTGATTTAAGACGACGATTAATAGCAAGAGGAAATATCCAAACTACGGTGGGTGATAGGAAACAACCAGAAATGACTTATACAGAAAAAGTACAGCAAAAGCCTAGAACACGAACTAGATCGACAAGTACGAAAAACAAGGAATGGAATTTGTAACTTTAGTATACGAGATGTGACACAGAAAAACGAGACTAAGAGTGTAGCTTGAAAACAAAGTGGAGTTAGCACCAACTGTTTTGGTGACGTCATGCCACACACCTCCTCTATTTATGCGACCAGTTTCGACTTAACCGACCTCGCCAGTGGGGAGTACTGCGTCATTGAGTGAATACGTGCAGGCATTCTGCTGGAAAAATGTCTAATGTAAAAACAAAACAGAGAATCAACATCAAGTTTCTTGTTAAACTTAAGAAATCAGCCACGCAGGAAACATTTCAAATGTTAACAGAGGCTTATTTTTTCCAATTTAACAGAGATGAAACTTTGTCTCACGCACGTGTGTTTGAATGGCATAAGCGGTTTTCAGAGGGAAGGCTCAATGTGGAAGATGATGAATAAATCGGTTCTCAGTGGTCAAATTGTGAATCAATACTTCTACACTGCAGTACTAAAAATACTTTGTGAAAAAATTAGGAAACAAAAGGCCCCAGTTGTGGAGTGATGGATGGTTTTTGCACCAGCACAATGCACTCGCTAACACGGCCATATCTGTCAGTTTCTGACCAACAAATAGATTACTCTGATGCGACATCTTTCTTATTCACCTGATTTGGCTCCATGCAACTTTTTTATTTCCTAAAGTTAAATCTTACCCAAAGGGAACCGATTTTACTCCAGCTGAAGATGTTCAGGCAAAAACGAAAAGTCTGCTGAAGGGTCTTCCAGAAATTTCGTTGCAGAACTGTTACCAGAAATGGCAGAAATTTTTGATTAAAGGTTAATCAACAAGTATAATCATCAATAGCTGTTTGGTTAAAGGTTAATCAGACAGCTATTGAATGTTTGATGTTTAATTAAAGGTTGATTGCAAAAGAGGAGGACGTGGTGTTCTCAATGCCGGGTAAGCCAGCTCCTTGCAGCTTATAGACCTATTTGTTTGCTACCTACTTTGGGTAAGGTTTTGGACAAGTTAATTAATAATAGATTGGTATATTTCCTTTGTATCAAAAATCTATTGTACAAAAATAAATTTAGAAAATTATATACAGCTCTTATTACTATTGATATTAAAAATGCATTTAACAGCCTATGGTGGCCAAGCATAAAAAACAGGCTTTTAAATATGAACTGTCTCAAGAACTTGTATAATATTATCACTAGTTATTTGGATTGCCGTTATATAGAATATAAAGACAATAATATATTGATATCGGTTATACAGTAAGTTATACAGTTAGATAAGTTATACAGTTAGATAAGTTATACAGTAAGGTGCACCACAAGGTTCTGTTCTGGGGCCGACTGGAACATTTTTGCTGATTCGGCATTACAACTTGAATTTGAAGAAGGAATTGCTTTACAAGCCTATGAAGATGATTTTGCGTTGGCTGTTTCAGTAAGCAGTAGACTAGTAATTGAGGATAAAGCTAAAGTAGCATTGATAAAATCTATCAATGGTGTAATTTCAACAAATTAGAAATTAATCAAGAGAAGATCTAGCATTTCCATTTGGCTCCAACTTATTCTGGTAGCCTATACTTACATGGAATGGAATAAGGATTAAGAGTGAAAAAACACTTAAATATTTGGGTGTTTCCTCAGAAGCAAATATGAGTTGGCTGCCCCACTTGACAAAACTTAAGGAAAAGATATTTAGAGTAGTAAATAAATTAAATAGACTTCTAAATAAAGATTCTTTGAAGAACAAGATTGTTCTAAAGGTATTATACAAAAGAGGAATTGAACGTATAGTATTATAT